TGCCGCTCTCTTGGATGTATTTGAATCTTCTTTTACGATTGCACAAACCATTATTTCTTTCATCTCCGCATCTACATCAATTCTGGGAGTACTTTGACATTTACACCCCAAAATACAACCATTTGTTTTAAACCTTTCGATAACGTTTTTATTGTTCTAATTGACGGAATTAAACGTTCCGGATATTTAACTGAGAATAGGTCTCTTGTTTGGCGTAGAGAATTGCCCACTAAAGACCAGCTTATCATGTCAATTTTTTCTTGCAATGTGTAGGAAAATATAACTTATAATTGGTTCTCGGGTTCAGTCGAGTACATATGTTATTCGCAATCAGGGCTGGATGCTCCCGTGTACGAGTTTTGGTTCGTGCCGCGCATGACGTCACTTGATGAGTAGTTGCCGTGCGAATACACGAATAATAGTAATATTATCAAAGAAAATAGAGAAATATCTGGACAGTGCGTTTTTATTAAACTTAATAATGAAGAAAGTGTTATAATATGGATAGGGCTGTAGTTTAAGCGTTGGTGTTTTAAATTAAACTTATAGTCACTGTCCAGAAAATGTTTATAGGAAACAGAAGCGGTCTTAACGTTGATCTTGTCTTTTTTTGTGGCATTTAATTTTGCACAAATCAAAGTTTTTCGGGAATCGATGAAATTTAATGTTTTTATTTAAAGGGTTTTTCTTGGACTGGTTGTCCGCATTTTAATAAATGTAAATGGCACGACACAAACTAAAACACAAACAAAACAAGTTAACGCAACACAAAAACAATAATAAACAAACAAAACAGGTTAACACAACGCAATAACAATAATTTGAACACTGAAAAGTAATTCGAACCTTACTGAAGGCAAAAACAAGTTAAACAAAAAATAGAGCAAGTTAACATGCAACAGCATCGCAAAAACAAGAATTTTAGCAGCAGATAATTAAAAAACACGCTAAAGATTTAAAAACACTCAACAAGTGACGTATTTAGGCCCCGCCCAACATGCGCACCATTCTATCTTAAGGTGTATGTAACTTGATTCCCAATAGACGAAATTGCCGACTGCCCGAATTGTTTGTCCACAACGCGTTGTGGGTATAGTAGTTTACCCACGATGCGGTTAGAAACGTTTTTTCCGAACAGTGAGTAAAGCTAATTAAACAGAACGCGTTGTGGGTAAACTATGCTACCCACGACACGAAATAATTATTCGCGCGTTTTTGTTTTGAATTGCGGGGCATGTCGTTTGCCCACGTCGCGTTTTAGATATTGTGTTTTACTCATAATACGTTTTAAATAAAACAATGAATATAAATAAAAAAGTATTTATTTAAACGCATAGGTATAACATAAATTATATGTTACTACATTTAACAAAGATAGATAAACGAGCTTAAAAAAACATTACTTATTTTTAAAAGAATAGCTCTTGTGGCATTTTGAATTGCATTTTATATTTAATTTTATGCACCTAGATGCCTTCATTTGACATCCTTTCAGGCAACTACACCGGACAAATCCTTGCTTAGACCTAGAAAACATCTTGGCTTGAGTTGGGTTGAGTTCACAACAATACACGACAATTCACTTGTTTTATTCAGGGACCCGGACCTAAATGAAATAACGGTTCCTGTCCGGTTCCGAGAGAAACGACAAATTTCGGTTCGGGTTCAGTTACTGTTCCAAAAAAAATATTTCTGTCCGGTTCGGACCATTTTTTTCGGTCCATACGGTTTTTTTCGGTTCCAATTTTTTTACCATAAATATAAATACCTAATACCTAAGTAAAATTATAAAATATTTTTTTTTTAATTTTTTTTGGCATGTAATTAAATTACTTTGTCTTTATTTTTTTTGTTAAATCAGGTTCTTCAATTTTAGGCTCTTCAATCTCTTTTCTTTAATTTTATTCTGATCTTGCGATTGAAAAACTGGAAAATTCATATTTAAAATAAGTTATCCAAAAATAAAAAAAACTGAACTTTAAACTTTTGTTTTTCTTTTTCTCCAAAAATTATGTTGGTTCTCACAAATACCTAATTGTTCCTCTAGGGAAGTAAAAATTTGTGACCGGAAAACAGCTTTTTATATCATATGTATACATAATACTAGGCAACACTGTGATTAATAAATCCCCACTATAAATGTACCTTAGGGTGGAGTGAATTTTATTAAATTTATTAATTGATTTTTCCTATATTATTAATTGTTGACTAAAGGTGTAAAATGAATAAATATCGAAAAAATATTCCAATTTTTTAATATCTTGAGGTGGCGCATCAGTCTCGAAGTTTTGAAAATTCTAAAAAAATAGTACTTTAATCAAAGTAATAAAAATAGCATTATTTATAAATAAAAAATTTATTTTAGTAAAATTAACGTGAAAGTAAACATATTTAATAGTAAATCATATGCTTTAAGTAACTTCAGGAGTGTTTATTGGTAGAAATGAGATCTTCTTTTTCGCGAAAATACTGACATTTGGTATAAAAATTTGGTAATTATTTTCTGACTTTAATTCTTGTTCTGATGAAACCATCTCTTGCTTCCGATCCACAAACCGAGTCTGAAGATTCAGTATACTGGTTATAACCAGTTTTACACAGCGTTCCACTGCTTGGGTGTGACACGGAAATTTTTGGAAGTATAGGAAATGGTCACCCGAAGAAATCATATCGGTAATTTCTGTCATCGTATTTCATAGTCATAGGTGGTTCAGTTACCTTTTCTGTCGCCCAGTGAATTAACTCGTAAAAATGTAATGCTTCAGTATTTAGTTGTGGAAGCTTTAATTCCCGTAATCTCGAACATTTTGATTCTTTTCTCGCCTTTAATATTTTCGGCAATGCTAGTTCTCTGATCGATAGATATATTGTAGGTAACATAGCTAGTAATAGGTTTTCGGGATAAATATTAGCTATAGCTTACAAAGATCCAGGCAAGCTAGCACATTCCCTATGGCTGACGTGGGTTAATAGGATTATTCGTTTATATGGGGGACAGCAAATCCATCGGAAAACCTAAAAGAATTGGCTACTTTTATCATGAAAGTGTATGCCCCAACGTGGTTTTACATCAACACCAAGCCTACGTGCAAACATGGTCCTATTCACATATTTAATATGACTAAAAGAGCATTACATCTCCAGAAAAACTTGAAGGCCTTATAAAGTTATAAAGTTATAAAGAATATTCAGCGAAATATTTATCCCGAAAACCTATTACTTGCTATGTTACCTACAATATATCTATCGATCAGAGAACTAGCTAGCATTGCCGAAAATATTAAAGGCGAGAAAAGAATCAAAATGTTCGAGATTACGGGAATTAAAGCTTCCACAACTAAATACTGAAGCATTACGTTTGTACCAGTTAATTCACTGGGCCGCCCAGTCTGGGCGACATAATAGGTGACTGAACCACCTATGACTATGAAATACGATGACAGAAATTACCGATATGATTTCTTCGGGTGACCATTTCCTATACTTCCAAAAATTTCAGTGTCACACCCAAGCAGTGGAACGCTGTGTAAAACTGGTTATAACCAGTATACTGAATCTTCAGTCTCGGTTTGTGGATCGGAAGCAAGAAATGGTTTCATCAGAACAAGAATTAAAGTCAGAAAATAATTACCAAATTTTGATACCAAATGTCAGTATTTTCGCGAAAAAGAAGATCTCATTTCTACGAATAAAAACTCCTGAAGTTACTTAAAGCATATGATTTACTATTAAATATGTTTACGTTTCACGTTAATTTTACTAAAATAAACTATTTATTTATAAATAATGCTATTTTTATTACTTTGATTAAAGTAATATTTTTTTAGAATTTTCAAAACTTCGAGACAGATGCGCCACCTCAAGATATTAAAAAATTGGAATATTTTTTCGATATTTATTCATTTTACGCCTTTAGTCAACAATTAATAATATAGGTAAAATCAATTAATAAATTTAAAAAAATTCACTCCACCCTAATGTACCTACCACCCATGCTAGTCAAGATACATACACCTACATGCTAGTCATTTTAATAAATCAGTCTTCAACCTACTCTGGTATTATTTACTTTATGGCGCAGTCGGTGGGATATTTTGTAGTGGGGGTTTAATAATTACAGTGTTGCCTAGTACTGAATAATATATGTGTATACACACATGTGTACATACATATGACATCTTTCTTTTTCCAATAAAGTTATTTTAATTTACATTTACAATAATTATTTATACAACATTTACAATTGTTATTAACACAGCAGGAATCCCTAATAATACTTGTACTAGAGTGTATAATTTATAGATTTATATATTATTTTGCAAAAACTAATTTTATAGATTTTTTAACGAAACAAAATATATTTTTGCAAAGATAAATTAAGAAAAAAACCGAAAATAACCTAAAAAACCGTTTTAAATTTAAAGGGTTCGGGTTCGGTCACTAGCGTTACGTTTATAAATAATATGGGTTCGGTTCCGGTTCCGGTCCACAAATAAATACCGGTTCCGGTCCGGTTTTCTGTCCAAAAACGGTCCGGTCCGGGTCCCTGGTTTTATTTTACAAAAGTTAGATAGTTGTTGTCGCCTTCAACGCCTTCTGAGTAAAACACAATAGCCAGATCGCGACGTGGGTAAACGAAATGCTCCGCAATGCAAAATAAAAGCGCGCGAATAATTATTTCGTGTCGTGGGTAGCATAGTTTACCCACAACGCGTTCTGGTTAATTAGCTTTACTCACTGTTCGGAAAAAAGTTTTTAACTGCATCGTGGGTAAACTATACACATAACGCGTTGTAACAAAATATTCGGGTCGTCGGCGATTTCGTCTATTGCGAATAACAAATATATTTCAAATGTTACCCTATGAATTGCAATAATTAAACCTAAATATTGTGATAATTGAGTTTTCATTACTTGAAATGAAATTTTAAAATTGTGTTTGTTTACTAATAATCCTAAACATTAAATAATGCACAAACTAACAATATAATTTGTTTCAGCACCGTGAACACGAGCAGCAATGGCCCGAGCGGCTCAATAACACCCCCGGTAAGCAAACCACCGACCACCGTAATCCCGCCCACGACGATAGTGTGCCTGCCATCGGTGGTGAGCAGCGCCCCGATGCTGAACTCGGTGGTGAACGAGGTGACGCAGTGCACGTCGATACCGCGTCCCGGAACCGTGCAGAGCTCCAGCTCCCTGCCCTACCTGGCTCTGAGCACCAGTCAACCGATCAGGGCCGTGTCGACGCATAGCAAGTCGAAGCCCAAAAGTGCGCAGTCGGGCCCTTCCAACAGGAACAGGAGCAGCAACAAGCCGCCCCCTGGCGCGGTTAACTTGGAGCGCAGCTACCAAATATGCCAGGCTGTGATACAGAATAGTCCCAATAGGGACCAGTTGAGGTATGAGCTATGGGATGATGATGTTTTGATCTATTTCAAAAATTTACTTGAAAGGCTGTTTCACAACTTATTTGTTAAATAAAAAGTCAATTTCTTTAAAAATTGTAAAAAAGCTAAAAGTAATAATTGAGAAGAAACATTTAAACCAGTTTTTTACAGCTTTTGCAGAAATAGTTTAAATTTTTTTAATAAATTGACTTATGTAATTAAAATTTTGCCAGACAAGCTGTGAAACAAAAAGAACATGTTAAAAATTCCCCTAAAAAGTCGCTAGCATCACTTTGTAAACATTTATTGTATGGGATTTTTAGTTATAGCTAACTGATTTGTCCTAAAACTACAATTTGTATAATGAATGTTTGGGAGTGAATATATTTTCAGTTGGATAAAATTGTGCTTATTTGTATTACGCTCCAAAACTCTTAATGAAAACTATGAAGTATGTTTATAGTTTTTTTCTTTTTTTTCTATATCATAATCTACTTCAAGGATGTCTTTGATTCCGTCATCGTAAGTATTGACTTTTTATTAATTTATTAACATAGGACAGTTACTCGCAACTAATACTATTCACATCCAAAACATCATTATACAAACTGTCCTTAGAATTCAACATTAAAAAATGAATAAAACGTGGAAAAAACTTAAGTAATAAAGGGTGTCCCAACAAGAGCGCGGGATTTAATTTTAAAGAAAAACACATTTATTTTTTGAATCAAGCCAACATTTTAATATCAACATAAAGAAAAATAGTTCCGATTAAACGTGAAATACAACATCAATGAGATTTTGAATAACGTTTTCGCATAAATGTGGCTGTATTTTACCAATAACGCGCTGTATTTCCTCTTTAAGATGTTCAACTGTTTAAGGCTTATTCACATACACCTTTTCCTCCCTAAAGAAAAAAGTCCATCGGCGCTAGATCGCACGATCTTGGTAGACAATGTTGATCACCAAATCGAGAAAAAACACGGCCTGGAAACTTGATCTGCAGTAACTCCATTGTTTCACGTGTTGTGTGGCAGGTCCCACCGTCTTGTTGAAAAAATATGCTTCCAAATCAATTACATCCAATTCGGGCCCCAAAAACTCCGTTAACAATGTTTAATTCTTGACCACGATGCCGTATGGAAGTTCCTGGATTCTCGGCCACAGATTCCCTTACTGTGGCTATACTGTCGAGTAACCGACAAGGACGACAACGAACAATGGTCTTCTGATCCATCGGAGTAAATTTGGTCTCTAATTTTTTAATTAAACGGCTCACTGTCGATTCATTTGGCGCATAATTGCGACCGAAAACTTGACGAACTGTTTTCGCAAAACTTTCATCATTTTTTTAATGTGTTTTTACAATAATTAAACATTGTTCGTTTGAATATTTCTCCATGTTCTTAAATCGCGTGATCTGTACGTGACAACTGTCGAAAAAAAATCAGGGTACAACTTGTATTAACAAAATGGCGGCAAATTTAAATCGTGCGCTCTGTTGGGACACCCTTTACAATTTCTTACAAAACGGAATTAACCTTAAAATGGATAAAAAAAGTTTTGTCTTGTTTTTTTAAATGCTTTAATATCTACGTCAATTAAAGTAAAAAATATTTCCCGGAAAGATTTCTAAAAAATTACAAGCTGTAGAAAAGTTTCTTTCCAGAAATATATGAAAAACAATTTTTATAGGACAGTAAAATCGTATATTGACCAATTTTTGATATTAGTGGATGCTTATATCAAATAAAGTCGTTTATTATATTTATTTATTTTACTGTTATTATAACATTTATAATATCTGTTGAAATTTTATTTTTTTAATCAAACATAAATGGAATATTATATATTCTGGAACAACCCGGCGCCACCATCTCCCACCATCTTGAAAAAACCCTAATTTTTCTTTTAATAACTTATCGCACAGAGTCAAACAGACTTTTAAAATACAGGCAATTTTAAGAGCTACATTTTTTATAAATCCTATTTTGCACACTGATGCGTTGTTGCATATATGTAAAAAACGCAACTGTTTGGAAATTGATTTTCTCTTGTTTTTTTTAGAAAATTCTCTTGAAATTTTGTAACTCCAAAAAGTCCTATTAATTGACTATTTAACTTATTAAAATTGGTCCAGTGTGGGACTGGACGACAATGGCGGCTCGTGACCATTTAGAAGGTGAGGCCTATGAACAGCTATATGGCTCTGCAGGCAATTTTATTTGAAATTTTCAAAGTCTCGCGTTTTAGGAGCACTTCAGAATCTAAATAATAAAAATATATTATTTAAAAATATGTTCTTTTACGAGAAGAATTTTCAAAATTTAGCTAGAATAATACAAAAAGTGCGGGACGAGGTGGGATTTTTATTTATTCCTTCAGCAGGTTTCCACATTACCCAGGAGGTACTGCTCATTTTTACCTAACTTACAATAATTATTTTTAGATTAATAAAGGTACAACCGCACAACAACAAAATAATAATGTACAGCACACTGGGTATATGAAACTCAACGATTTAACACTGAACTATAAAAAACATGAATATTTTTTGTGATTTTTACTGTGGTATTTGTGTGTTAATATAATAATATATTAAAATAAAAATGTTTTTTTATAATTATTTGAATTATTTTTACATGAATTCACAACACAATAATGTATTTTACCCTTGCATTTTTATCACAACTTTCCATTTTAACGCTAAGGCAAAGACTAAACAGAAATAAGAAACTATAAACACGCATAGATCTAATTAATAAGCTTTGTTTACTAAAACATTCCACGCCCGCCCAGTCTTTTACAACGGCTGATAAGCGAGCCGCACAGATCTCCGGACTGACTCTGCTGTCTTCCATATACTGTGGTACAAGCCCAACTTTGTGGGCCTCAATGTCTACAAAAATTCGCGTATTATCCCCGCCTTGCGGCACCGTGCAGCGGCCGGCTGCACCGTGCAGCGGTGGGGAGCGTTATGTTGTATCGGCAATTTACAATTTATGGGATTACTATTTCCCTATTATGCGGTCGGGCAATGATTTAAGCGGTTAAAATTAAAATTGGAAGGGGTGCGCGCTAAATTTAAAGGTAATATTTTAAACTTTAACGGTTATTCTATGTTTTGATACTTTTAATGGCTGGAAATTAGTTTTAAAACGTTTTATATTTAAATAAGTAATGTATCGAAAATTTCAATTTATATTATAATTTTAACATGTGAGGCCCGGCCTCAGTTGCTTTATACGACGAGCCGCCACTGCTGGACAATCTACACTCAAAGTCGCGAGGTCTATTTCGCGGGAGCGTCGATTGCAATATCACGCAGCGTAGATCAGGAGCGTAATCAGGGACATATTTGGTAATTTTCTGCGCCCAGGCGAATATGATCGGCCGCACCATTAGCCGATACCAAAAGTGAACCAAAATTTGCTTAAATCTTTCGTTTTTTACTTATATTAAACGTTATTTTAAGTTACAACCAGAGCTGGGAAAGTTACTTCTGAAAAGTATCTAGTTACTTTTCTAAGATACTTTAAACAAAATAACTCAGTTACCTTTGGTAACTAGATACTTTGAGTTAAAAGTATCTTTAGTTACAAGATACTTTAAAAAGTATCTAAGATACTATATGAAAGTATCTAAGATACTTTTGAGTAACTAAGATACTTTTAAGTAACTAAGATACTTTTGAGTATATAAGCTACTTTTAAGTATGAACAAAAACTATAAAATTATGAAAATTCAACAAGTTGTAGGTTAGGTAATTACTTAGAATCATTCTGGAATTCCCCCAATTTTCTCTAAGAAAGTATCTAAGTTACACTGAAAAGTATCTTAGTTACTTTAAAGTATCTAAGTTACTTGAATGTATCTTAGTTACTTTAACGAGTAACTTATACACTTTTTTAGATACAAGTTACAAGATACTTTTCCAAAGTAACTTAGTTAAAGATACTTTCTGTCCAATATAAAAAGTATCTTAGATACTTTAAGTATCTAATTTACTTTCAAGTATCTTTTTTTCAAGATACTCCCAGCTCTGGTTACAAGTAATCCGAAATTTTATAATAAAATATTAAATTATATTAACGTAAATAATTAATACAAATACATTTTTCAATTTTAAAAATAAGATTTTAATTTTGACATGAGAAAATGAATAAATACTATGTTATCAAAATCCTAGGTCACACTAGAAAAAGTAATACTAAGAAGAAAATTAAAAGAGAAATGGAATGACTGGATGTGTGGAATATTTTCCACACATTCCACAAAAATTACACACATTTTGTGAAATTCCACATAGATTGGCAACACTGTATGCATGACAAGTTAAAACAATGCGCGCGCTCTCGCAATAAGATGCGCAGCCAGTACGTACATTTAAACAGAAAGAAATTGAAGGTTCTTTTTAAAATTATTTTATGTAGAACAGCGGGGTAATCAATGAAAATGCCCGCTAAACACAGGAAAGCGCATAAACAAAGAATATGTAAATTACAAAATTTGAAAACCTATTAAATTGGGCTTTTAATAGACATATTTTTAAATAACTTTAGTTTGTCACCAACAAATTATAAGGCCGAAAAGAGTTATAATGTTATTTTTAAAGAAACGTCAAAATTTTGTTGATTGCCAGCCTACACTGGACCGATTTACTTTCCAAAAAAATGGAGAGCAAGTTTTATAAAAAAAGTAGCTCTAAATTACCAGTATTTTAAGAGTCTGTTTGGCTCTGTGCAACAAGTTAATAAAGAAAAACGTCAGGTGTTTTTTCAAGCCCCGCTGGGGTTAATCGGATCAATCCGAAAACCATTCAATTTATGCTTTTTTGATTAAAAAAATTAAATTCCAATTGGAATAAAAGTATTGGGTTCCCTATATAAATCTTACACTTTTACTGGAATATTTTTCTTGCACAATTGTACACAAAAACATTAATTCTCTCATTCAACAAATGGCATTTCCAAGAGAGGGCCATAAATCTGATTAAAAAGAGCCATTATATTAATACTTACCTCTACATAATTAAATGTGATTTTATTGAATTCTTTCAAACTTATAAATTAAAAGGTTGTTTCCAAAATGTGCCCCCTCTGATTTTGGATACGCCACTGATTGACATTCATGTAGTATTGTAATTTAATAAAACAATAACAACAATGCTTGAATTACTTTCTAGGTGTCAACTGAAACCGCCGCCGTCCCTGCTGGCGACTGCGACCGCCAACTCGTCGAAAAAGATCGAAAACAACCGACAAACGCAGTACGGAGCCGTCACGTCGTCGCGCAGCGGCTCCAACAAGACGTTTACGCCGCCGCTGCCCGCTCCCGCCACATACCAAACGGTGCAACCTGGCGGCGGGGGCGGCGGCACGGTGGCCGTCAAACCGGGCCCCCCCAAAGCGCGCCCTTTGCCGTACCAGCACCAAAGACAGCCCAGTCCGCCGGTCGTGGTCAGGCACGTGTTCACTTCGGGACAGGGGATTCCCGTCACGATGGCCGTGTTGCCGCAGGCGGCGTCCACGTTGAGTCCGGAGGTGAGAAATGTACGTTATGTTTTATATAAACAATTTGTTTCCAAAGCACCAGCAACCAGTTCGCCATTTTCCCTTCGCACTTCCTAAAAAACCAACTGCGCATGTTAACAGTTAACTAATTACTTAATATTATTAAGAAAATCAAGGTACAGTGTGTACTTAAGTTGGAACCATATCCCATGGGAAACAGTATTATTATTGGTTTTATACAAAAAAGTTATTCTCACGGTTATTCCTAATAAAAAGTTCTGCATGGCCTAAATCCCAAAATGAAATATGTAATCAGATTTAATTTTTTTGCAGTTGTTTATGAGGTTTGTCAAAATATTAAAAATATATAAATTTTCCTTAAAAGTAAAGTACCTTTATTTTTAAAAACGTCTAGTGTTTTAAAAATAATTAATCCGAAATATTAAGTACATTTAGATATGCAATTACAACCATTTAGCATAAAAAGTAATTTATAATGAATCAATTACAAAACCTGATTTTTCATGCTAAATGGATGTAATTACACAATGCATAATAGAATGGCCCCAAAAAACGACTATTTTTTTTTAGTCTTCTATGAAAATTTGTTACTTAATCATGTTTTATTAATCTCTACCAAAATCAGCTCGATTAAAAAGGGGTCGCTAACGAATTTAAAAAAATTACAAAAATAGTCAAAAATCGATTTTTTTTAATTTAATTTCTTGCTCCGTACGGTACATTTTTTTAAACGGTTTTTTTTATTGTTTGGTAGTTTCAACATAAGAAAATCATAAATTGGATATTGTAATTAAAATTGTGATATTGAATTCAAATTTCTTTATAACATAATTATTGAATAAACTAATACTTGTATTTAATTTATTGTCACTTTTTCGTTAAAATGTTATATTTGTATTTTTATTCAATTTGCAAATTTGTGCGAATTAAATTTTTTGACTAAAATAATCGCAAATTTTGTTCAGAATTTTTGTACCTAATTGTATTAATAAAAGATTGGCAAAAAACGTAAAAGATGTGAAAAGAACAAAAACACGAATGGGTTTTTCCACGTATTTCGTTAAACATCTCTTATTCATTTACATCGTAATTTGATTTTTAAGCAAATTTTTAATCCTTAAGCCTGTTAAATAAAAATTTGAATATATTTTAAAAGTTAGCGTCAAGCGTTTTTTCTCGCTTTCCGAAGGAAAAGTTCAAAAAGCCTACCAATTTTTAAGGTAGGTGAATGAATTTTGTCTCAAAATGCTCAAAATTTTGTGTAGTATTTGAAACAAATAATGACTCAAATTTATTTTGAAAGAATAAAAAGTAGTTAAAACTAAAAAAACTGTAAAACTGTGACAAACTTTCATTTAATAATGTTAAATAAATTATTACCCAAATCAAGGAGATTGTAAAGATATAGGCGGCCGCCATATTGAACTGATTTATTTCTATCTTTTTTTCTCTTACATGCACAGCCACTAATTTGAAATTATCGTAGCAACGATCCAAAATTATCGTTTTTGAACGTATATTATCGTACGGTATGGAAAAAGGGTAAAGGAAATATGAAATTTGAGTTGTTTAATATGCATTTATATTTTTTTGAAGAACAAAAGTATAAAAATAGTATATTACACTACAAAGGAGGTTGACAAGTCCGAGACTGGTCAAAACTTAATTCCTGCGTGGTGTATAACGTTTTATCTTTTGAATACTTTTTTTTATCAATTTTTCTTTACACTGGTACTAAGTTTTTTTTCTACTCCCACCTTTAAAACGCCCATTATCGTACAATTGGCGTCCCCGAAATGTGAACGGCAAAATTTAATCGTGAAATATGGGCTTTGCATCAGCGTCGGCGGTGTCAAATTTGATAATAGTTGTCAATCGCAATCATAGATATAAATCAATATCAAAAATGCCACCCTACTTAACTGAGGCTTAGAGGTCCAGGGCAATAGCCAAATTAAAAGAAAATTGTTCTTTAAGTGAAGTGGCTGCAGATTTAAATGTCGGTAAAAGCTGCATATTAGGCAAAATCCTTTCATAGCGCAGTTAAGGCTCGAGAAGATACACAATCTCCAGGATCTCTTCGAACATCTCGAAAAAGATTAAAACAAGCTGGCTTAAAAAACTGTGCTGATGCTGCTCGTAAGGTTTTTTTAACTGGCGAAAATAAGCGCAGGAGAGTCCAGTTCGCCAATGACTATCTAAAATTATGGAATAATGTTGTATTTTCTGATGAATCTTGCAATAATGGAAGGCTGCGTGTATATCGTCCAAGAGACGCAATATTTGAGAACTACACATTTAGAACCTCAAATCTCACCATAAATCTTTGGGCGTGGACAAGCGTCAGTAGTGCGGGAATATGTTGCGAAATTGATGGTAGATTAACGGCTGAGCATTATACGACGATTTTTGGACAACGTTATGCCACCTTCAAAAATACAATAAATATTATATTACAAGACAATGCACCAGTTCACACAGCTCGCGTGGTTACAGACAACCACATAACTGTTTTGCCATGGCCAGCTAAAAGTCCTGACTGAAACCCCATTGAAAACGTGTGGGGTTTTATAGTTAAAAAATTATATCAACGGGACTTTAGGCTGGCAAACCGAAATTAACTACGGAATGCTGTTGAAAATTCTGGGGAAGACATTTAAATCTGCAGATATTTCAATTAAAGACCAATTTTCTTGAGCAATATTTTAATTTAGTTATGTTATTTTTATTTTTTATTTACCTACTTGTTAATATTGTTGTACAAAACCAAATTAAAGTTAATTTATTTATAATATTGTTTGTTGAAATATTATTAAAAAAATAGAACGATTTAGGATCTATTTAGGATTTAGGCCGAAGCCAGGAATTAACGAATAACGAACGGGGACGCCAATTGTACATGTTTCCATGACACTAGTGACCTTTTTAATACAGATTGACAAGTTATGGCTTTATAGCGTTTTAGTCACGGGATAAAGTTAGCAACAGGTTTTTAGTCGCGGGCTGAAGTTAGATTTAAGTTATTGGACAGTTCTCAAATGTCATACAATCGTTAAAATGAAGTGCCCTTGTAAAATAATATTAAATTAAAAATTATTTTATTATCTCAACACAAAAATACAAAAGTATTAAATAGTTTCCCAGCGCCAATATTTGAAAAGTTTATATGAACATTTTACTGACCTTTTAATTTCGCAATATCGATTTTCGCAAGCGCACACTGACGCAATGGTCATATCTACATGACTTTCGCTCAATTTCCCAGGAAGCACAGGGCATATAACATATTATGTTTACACATCAAAAATTGCATTTAAAATTTAAATAATTTAAATCCTTCGTTGTTCCAAAGGTGGTTGACGGTCAGAACCCTGTGGGTACAATGGGTCCCTACATCTTGGTGCATCGCACGGGCGTCAACGACCATCACCATCAAAACCACCACCACCACAACGTGCCGCGATCATCGAGCGCGCCGCCCTCTCACCACCAAATCGGCGGTGCCATTAACACTGGCACCGTCTCCCAGATGGTGGCGGTGCCGGCCCGCGGACGTCCCGCAAGCGTCGACGTCGAGCATCAGCAGCAGTCAGCCGCCGCGGCGCAGATGGTTCAGCAGCACCAGCAGCTGCAACAGCAAGGCCAGCAGCTGCCCAACGATTTCGTGGTGCAGTGTCCGAATCCGGGAACGCAGGCCGTCACCAGGAGGCAAAGGATGCCACCAGGTATGTTCTACAAAATAATTCTCCTTAAATCTTTTTTAATTAGTATCAATGATTCAGGATCAGTTTTTGACTTTAAGGGGTTGCATACATTTGTGCTGGGACAAAAAATCGATTTTTAGCACGCTACCTCAGGAATATGTAAAGGCCAAAGAACATAAAATTTTAAACGCGTTTATCTCGGAATCGTTTTTTTTTAAAGTTGCCTTGAGCACGATTTGTGGAAAACCAATTTACCGATCGATCTGAAATTTGAAAGGGTTGTTTCTAATTACAATAGCTCCTTCGTGAACGATTTTCATTTGGACGAAAATTTCTATTTTTTTCGGCCGGAAAACTAAATTTTTATACCCTTTATTCGTTCACGAAGGGGGTGATACTATGTACTAATATCGTTTTTTTTTTCATACTAAGCGGTTTTCGATATTTCATGCTCACCGCAAACGCTTAAAAAAAAGGCGTTTCGGGGTAAGGCCCAAGTCAAAACTTTTTAGTTTTTACATTGCAAGTTGAAAGGTTTGTATAAAATCAGGTTTTTAATGAAATAGTCATTTCGAACGGACACTATAGTACTAATAAAACTTTAAAAGTTGAATATGTGACGTTATCAATTTTTTTGGTGTAAGTTCTTCAAATGTTTGATTACCTAATATTTGTTTGAAAAAAAAAACGTTGGCCATGGTTTTGATATTTATTTTAGTAGCGACTCATGCAAGAACGTTTTGTATATTTTTTTAAACATTTTGTTAAAAAGTGTAATTGTTTTAAACCTTTAAACCTCGTATAAATAATAATAAATTCCCTGATTGTTTATTTCTTAACTTCAACCTGTGGGCAAATGCGGGCTGAAGTTAGCTTTAAGTTAAAATTAAAAAAAAGAGCTTAAAACTGAATATTATATTGTTCTAATAGAATAAAACTAATTTTTTAAAAATCAAGTTTTCAAATTTCGATTATTAATATTATTGAAGTTTGTAAAGATAGTTTGTACTTAACGCGAGTAAGCTAGTGCATAGTGCTTAGTGCACTTAATTTTAGTATTTTGGTTAACTAAAAATGTTAATAATAATAATAATAATAATAATCAAACAATTGCTAATAGAACATTTTTGTTTTATTATTTTTCAAAATTTTACAAAACGTTCCAAAATTTTCTAACAGTATAGGGTGAAAAATTACTCTTACAAAAAAAACAAGGCTTAAGTAATACCAATTATTTATGATAACTTAACAACTAATTATTGTCTTTTTTTCTCATTTGCAAATACAGCAGCATTATTAAGTTGTTTAAAAAAAGTTTTTTAAAAATTACATCAACAGGCGGCATAAACTTAAATAATTTGGTTAGATCAGCAACTTTAGCAAAAGACAGGAGACATTTTTTTAGTTATTGTGCATTGCGAATATCTGGTATAAACATTGGTGAAAATACATCGCCATACTCAGGTCTAAAAACAAAACAAAAACCAATACAAAATTATAAAAAAGTAGACTAGGATTTACCTATATTACCACATTTTGCATGTGATTTCAAAGCTGCTTCATTTGAATCTAAAGCCACATAATCTGGATCTGCACAGGAATTATCACTATCTTCAAAGTATTCAATTTGATGCACAAAATGATTATTTTCGAATACGTCTGAACTTGTTGAACAGCAACTAAAAAATATAGTTTGAAAAAAAGTTCTAAAAGCATGTTTTAAAGCAAACAAATTCGTAGAAATAAGCTAATAATGTTCTGTTAGTAGCTACGTTTGAGTTTAGGGCACAAATCACTTATAAATTATAAGTTTTATTTGGGTATTTTATAACTATTTTATTATAATATTGTATTTTTGTACTTACGGAATCATTTATTTTTAAATAAAATAATCACTTAAATCACCAAAACCTACGACGTAATTCCTTAAACTGCCAATTTAATTGATTGGTTTGTTAGAACATTATAATAGTTAATTATATTTGAATTTCGCACATAGAACAAAATAATAATGTCGTTTTTAGTATTTCTGGGGTATATTTAACAGTGATACTTATTTAGATAGATAGATATTCGTTAAACCTTCATTTTCATGTAAAAATTTCATTTTCCGCCAAAATTGCTGATAGAACAATATAATATTCAACCCGCGAGTTGTCAGACAATAAGATATCAAATAAAATTGGCTTGAAATTCCTTGCAGGAGTTGAATAAAATATCGTGTGCAACTATTTGTCAAATGAGGAGATTCCACTCGTGTGTTACCAAATTTCACGCTTGAGGAATCTCCTGTTTTTTTTTCAGTAATCGCACCACATACTAATTTATTCCTTTTCGCAAAATTTATTTAAGGAGTCGTACAAGCGCCAGTAGCGAAAATGACCGTGAATATAAATTTTGAAACGCGCGGTTGTTTTGAGTGCCATTTTGTCAATTTTATTTGATTGCGTTGAAATTTTAACACAATCAAGTAGCTATAGCTTGTATAAAAATTTGGTAAATATCATTGTAAAATCTGACAAAAATTCTTCTGACAAATTGCACTGCTTTTCTTCTACAAGGGCCATATTGTTGATTTTGTAGGGACTTCAATACTCACCCTCGTACTTATATATATTTGGGATTTGATAAAATCGAAAGTTCTGCCCAAAAATTAGCCGTTGATTGCTCTGCAAAACAACTTTTGAATCTGCTGTTGCATGAGATGTTTATTAATTCCTCTTGGTCAAGAATGGTTCGGTGGCATGGTTTGTGAAAGGTTCGTTTACCCAGTTCCATTGCGACGATATTTCTGGAAAATATCTGAGCAGATTTTGCAACTGGCATTTTATGGCGAATTTTACATCTCTATTTTATGACCAGTTGAAACTGGTCATATTCACATACTTGGATTTTTTAAATAAATGTTGAAGTTTGTCTATAAACTATGGTGAATTATAAATTGCACCACTAAAATTTAGATTATCTTTATTAAGGAGCCAGGCTGCAAGGAAGCTGCAGCAAAAAATCTTTTTTTTAGCAAACTCTCATTTAAATTCTGCTTACGCAGAACTTGTTAATTTAGGCTGTGTTCCGTAATTTACTGCCATTACTGTCAGTAATTTTACTGTCAGTAGCGGAAAAGTACCGTTCCGTAATTTATTCAGTACTGACGCACAGTGAAATTGGAACGCGCCTCAGTGACAATGGTTACGCAAGGTTATGATTTGTGATTTACTGACAATTGACAAACTTTACTTTCGAGAACATAAATAAAAAATAAATATAACAGTTATAAGAAATATAATGTTTGGTTTATGGCAGAGAAATATGGAAAATTTAATGTTATCGTCGTCCGCGTCGAAAAATGTATATAGGAATAGGAAATATAAAATTTTACTGACACCGCAACAATAAGCCAAATACCAAAAATTACTCTTAAATTCGTCCGCTGAATACAAATATATAACATTTTCTAGGTACTACCTATAGTAGGTAGTTTCATATTCTGGGTCTTCGTATGCGTACTCCCCGCCGACCTGCCTTCGTCACTGCTGCTTGTACTTTCAAGTAATATTTTATCAATAAATATTGAAATAATTAGTCCTATAGGTATTCACCAAATACCATTATATGATATAATTTATATCCTTCACTTTATTTGACAGCTATTTTTTGTTTAAAAGTTTGGTTATGTGTTTTACTGGAGCCACAGCACCTCTCTGTCCCCAGTTGTTTCAGTAAAATCACAGAACATAAGAGTAAAATTAATCTGCCGAACATTTATAAAAGGGTAGTATTTACCACTGAGCTCAGTAACTGAAAGTGGATTTCGGAATGCGTTTTCAGTACCGACAGTACTGACAGTAAATTACGGAACATAGCCTTAGTGTCATTATAAACTCATATAAATTTGCTGTGGGTCCCATGTCTAATAACTGACGGTTTGTAAGTTATCAAAACAAAAACCAAAATATAAATTATTCAATTTTTTTGATAAAAAAAAATGTAACCGGTATAAAAGTATTGGGTTGTATTAGGCTTTCACGCAAAATGCGCGATCTTTACTTGTGAAACAATCCATACCAGCTGATTTCCTTGATGATCTTCATCATGAGCACAGTCATTTAAAGTCATTTCAATTTTTAAAAGGGTCATTCCATGTGACGGGTGGGACACTTGTACAAATATAATATGTTTATTCAATTCATATTTTATTATTGTAAGCTTTTTTATCCATGGAACCCTGATATTTTTAAACACCCATAGAACATATAAATAAACAATAAAAGTTTTTTGTAATACTAATTAGTTTTATAGACTTTTTTAGCTTTATAAAGTAATTTTTTATTGTGACGGGTGGGACAAGCAAAAAATGATATTTTTATGACTAATTGTTTGGAAGCCAATTTCTGCTAATTTATGCCAAACTATAAGATGTTTAAATTTTTTGTTGTTACATAAGTCTATGTACTATATAATGCGTGTTGAAATTTAAAAAAAAACATGTTGATAAAGGTATTAAAAAATATAATGCGATATTAAGAATGTGACGGGTGAGACAAGTTCAAAAATAATAAGGTTAGAAAATATATTACTACTTTATTTAGTTTAAATTAACAAGAAAACACATTATTTAACACTATAATATGCAGTGAAGTTTTTGTTTTGAATATGCAGTTACACTATGTAAAAGATTTTCATTTTCAGCTCTAAAAAAATGTTGTAAATGTAGATTAGGTATGGGTTTTATATTCCTCCATTTGTCTGCTAAATTTGCGTCAGCCTCTTTCATTTCCATAGTATCTATGTAAAAAACAATTAAACCTTTTAAAGATTTTTTTTTAATATTCAAAACATTCTTTTGGAGTATTTAATTGTGATTTTCTAGATTTTATTTCTGACCACAAGCTGCTGCTCCAACTCCATCCATTGCGCCTTTTCCATGACTGGCCAATCAACACTTACACCCCAATCATGAGGCGCGTTACATATATTAGACAAGATATATCGATTTTTAAATTGCCCAGCACAACCGTCGGTAAAAATTGTTATATGTTCCAAAGTGGAGTATTTAATTTTTAAATGGTATACTATTTTCTTTGTAAAAATCCAGACTGAAGACTTGTCGTGAGATAAATTATTACTTAAAATGGCATACGAAATCTTTTCTTTTTCGATATTTAGCCACACACAGGCAGTAAATATAGTCACCTGAGGATGCTGCCAATGGGCAAATTTTCGTGGAATGTCCCAAAAGGAAATTTTCTGCGCAATCGCATTTTTCACATTATGGGTTTGACAAATTAATCTTGCTATTTTTAAATTAAAATCTGAACTTATTTCCGGCGTAAAATAAAAAAATAACGAATTTATTTTTGATGCAGGCGTAATCTACGGCGACGTGAGCGTGGAATCTCCGATGCACAACTACACGCTGATCGGCGAGAACGTGATGGTCGACCATCCGGGCGCCGCGATGCAATCGCAGATGGTCGTGCAACAGCAGCAGCAGCAGCAGCAACCGAAGGCGCCGACTCCGACGGCGGTCAAGTCGGCGGCGGACGCGTCTTGCGCGTGCAGCCTGAAAGCTATGGTCGTGTGCAAAAAGTGCGGCGCCTTTTGCCACGACGACTGCATCGGTCCCAACAAGTTGTGTCGTACATGCTTTATACGGTAGGTTTATTATCGACTTTTTTGTATGATGCCTTTTGTTCTGCTTCTATGACGTTGATCGACAATGAGATTTTTTAAGGTCTGGGTTCTGAATGCCTGGTTCTCGTTGTTTGTAGATTATTTAAAAAAAGTTATACTTCTTCTGGGGCGAGAGTAAAATTCTAGCCAACGGAAGTTGGCGAAAACTCGACACCGAGAAGTTAGCCGTCCAAGAAAATCTATATAGTGAGAGTACGCGTAACGTAGACGTCCTATTCGCTTGAATGTTTGTGGCATAAGAAATAAGTGACTGTGCATATGTAAGAAAGAGATGGAAATAAATCATACATTTCAATTTATTTACAACCTTCTTGAGTCACATAAAAGGGTTTGACAAGTAGACATTTTTCAAAATTTCTAATGTTTTCAAAATCACAATTTTTTTAAAAACTTTAAAACTGACAAATTTTTAAAATTGGTAGATTAAATCATCAAAATTATGCTATTATGTTTTTTCAACAAATCATTTTATCGTTTTTCCTACTTATATAAAAAAAAAAATTTATTTACGGTCTTATACAGGGTGTCCCAGAACTCGCGCCACAGAGAAAAAGGGAACGTACCGAAAGTAATTTGAAACACATATTTAAAAAGTCAAATTGTCCAACGCAAAGGATAAGGGAGATAAGAATAAAAAACGATAGCCAATCCCAATAGATCACCACAGGGAATTCTTTAAATTGCTAGGATACTTAGGTTGCATTGTTGATAATAAAAAATATGTAAAATATTTGGTCCACTGGAATCCAATTCATTGTAAAACTGCTGTCAATCTTTACTCCTGTCATTAATATTATATTAGGTTATAAATTAAGTTATTATTGACAATGCTGTCAATCTTTACTTTTGTCATTAATATTGTATTAGGTAATAAATTAAGTTATTATAAATAATGTTTTCCTTGATGATTATACCGAAATGATAACTATTTATGGGGAGCGTGGGCGCAAAAAAAGCTAAATAAAGTACAACTGGTTTGATTTTTTACTTTAAAACATTGGCGTTCTGAAGTATCAGTCATAGATTAATAACCTCATTTTTTGAAAGCTTTTGACAACTTAGTAAATACAGTTGGCCAAAAGATTTTTAAATGTTTTTAAGACAACAATGTTCTATCGTCTCCTAGCAATTTTTAAAGCTTCTACGTTTAACCTAGGCGAGATGTCTCGGTATTGGCTGCCGCTTTTTTGCTCTCATTCGATTAAATTTGGCATCTCCATTGCTATCGGCAGGCCCCCTTTTTCTCTGTGGCGCGAGTTCTGGGACACCCTGTATATGGAGGCATTCCAAATCAACCACTTTTGACCCCAACCCCTTTCAATTTGACTGAATTTTTTTTATCCTTGTTTAAAAAAAATGGCTTTTTATTTTTCAAATATTTAAAACCTTTTGACTTATTTTTGCAAAACTTTTGTTATTAAATTTACTTTTTAGAAATAAATAGAAAAAATATTCATGCCGATCTCTAACGTTTTTTTTAATTTTCGGAAATAAACGAAAATTTCTCGATGATTGTCATTTTTAATTTAATATAAAACGTTAAAGATCGGTCTGATTAATTTTTTTCTATATATTTCTGAAAAGTACATAAAAACAAAAAAAAGGCCTGATCAGTTAATTTTTGAAAAAGTTATAGATGTTTGAAAAATAAAGAGCTATATATATGTGAGTTACACCAATGAAGTGGTTTCATATAGATGCGAAATGCGAAATACGAATATTCGCATTTCGCAACTCCTATTTCATATGGATGCGAACTATTTTAGGGACATTGTTTTCTCACTAGGCGATAATTTCCATGCAATTTTAGTTACTAAAATAGTAAAGCTACTTAAAGTGACTATAAAAGTAAAATAAGAAAGATTAATGTACCTCAAAAACCTCTTTGTCCATTATATAAAACACTTATTTAAACGGTTGTAATAAAACTCAACAAAACAAACACTACGATACAAACGAAATAAACCTAAATGGCATAGGTATGATAGGCAATTGCATTAAGGTGCATGCGAAAAGCATGCGCATCACGACAAATTATTGCGATATTCGGGCTTAACGCGCGTACAAGGATTTTTTAAGAATTATTTATTACTAATATCTTAGTGAAAATATTGCCTTTAAAGTAATTTTATATATGATTAACCCTGCAGGGTTTCTATTTAAAATCGTTCGCGTAAAAATTAAAACATATTTTCTCGATTTTGGGGTAAGAATGCTCATTCTTAAACGATTTTTGGTGACATTTAGTTTTTAAGATATTTATATTTTTTTCAACAAACATTAACAAATAAATAAGCCAAACCTTTTCTGGCATTTTACGCCGCTAGTTATACACAATTAGTCAAAAATATCAGTTTTCCCAGGTTTTATTAAATTAAATAATTAACTTCTTTTTCAGTATACATATATTGACAAATTGTTACTTGTTATTGTTCAACTACACTTAATTTAACCATAAACTGATGAAAGACAAGTTTTTTAATAAATTAAATTAATTAATTTAGTAAATTAAATTAATTAATTTTAAAATGTTTATTTATTTCTATTGTGAAATTTGACATATTTATCTTAATCTTCTACACAAAGCATGAGATCGAAAAAACGCAACCGACAAATTTTTTTTAAATATACTAAGGAATAGACACAAAACACTTTCTGTATTTCTTTTAGACATACATGTTAATGTATACATAATTTGGATAATTAACTATTACCTATTTTAAAAGATATTAAAAGCAATTACAAAGTGACTTTTTGCAATCTATGACAATTGCAAAAATTATTTTGACTTTTATATTCCTTTAATTAATAAGGTTTTTCAACACAAGTGTTGCAATAACTATTTATACAATAAGGGGGCATCCATTAATTACGTGAGGTGTTTAGGGGGAGGGGTCGAGCCAAACCTCACCCAATCTCATGTGGGGGAGGGTGGTCTCGGCAAATATCACGTATTTTTTTCTTTTCGAATGAAACAGTGTAAAATTGCGAGAAAACTGGGTTAAATTAAGTAAACAATTATAACATTTTTTTTTAATAAATCTAATGGAATCAATCACAGATTAACTTACTTACATTAAAACCATTCATTTTAAAAAAAGCTCACGTGAGATTAAGGGAGGGGGGAGGGGGTCGAGCAAAATCTCACATCTCACCAAGGGGTGGGGGGGAATCGAAAAATCACCAAAATTGCCTCACGTAATTAATGGATGACCCCTAACCTGCAAGTCTACAAAAGTATTAGTGACATCTTTTAATGTGAATAGTTACAACTCTTAAACTTTACAATATACAATAATTGCCAAAACTGTTTGAGTTTTTGCAATGAACGATAATTGCCAAAACTATGTATAATATTAAAATTTTCTGTATAAAAGCTTTACTTTTTTTCATAAAGCACAATTGCATGTCATTAAATAGTTAAACGGCGTTCCATAAAAAACACTCTATATCAAAAGGAACAATAATTGGAGATTTGTTTGTAAAATTTTTTTAATTAAAATAACATTCTACATCTGGTACTAAAACCTGTAACTTCCAGTGTTAAATAAATAGTCTAAAAACATTAAATTAAAATTTAAAATAAATACTTGTCAAAAAATGTTTTGTAATTTTTTATGCTCCATTAACTAAAACTATACACTGTATAATAATACATTTTTAGCTACCTAGTAAGTTTCAAATACCGATGACTTTCTGCCTTTCTGAATCGCAAGCAACATAACTAAAATTTCAAAAATTTGAACTTTTTGTTTTGAAGTGTGTTTTAAACTATAATATATAATAGGGTGATTCAATAAATCTACTATTCTTTTTTTTTGACATTATATCGATAAAATAGATACTGGGCCCCTCAAAAAAGCCTACCTACATACAGAGCTGTGCGGTAATCGAGTACAAGTACTCAAACACTGTACTCCAAGTACTTTCAGTGTACTCGGTACTCAGTCCCGAGTACTTTAATTTGAATGTACTTATACTTGTACTTGATACATTTAAGATTGCAAAAATGTACTCGAGTACTTTCCCGTGTACTCGAGTACTTTTACGTGTACTCGAGTACATCCAAAGTATGCAATGAGTACATTTTTATGCGGTGAGGTTGGCGTGCAAATATGTGCGTGGGTGTTGAAAATTTGGCAATGCAACCTCAGCCAGCCTGCCTCTCACGACAGCCTTAAGACAGCCTCAATCGATAAATAAAATGACACAGGAAAGAGCATTAAACAAAAGGTTTTTACTTACGTATGAAATGTAATTTTGTTTATATTTTGGTAGAAATAGGGTGACAATATTCCTCAAAAAGATAATTAAAAAATAAAGACAAAGTAAAACAAGATATTAGCCGGCCTTGATAATTAACATAAAGCGAAATATCAATATTTGATGAAGGCAATAGGCCGGCTAGTATTTAGTTTTGCACTAGTCATTCTAAATTCATTTCTTAATCGCCCCATTTCTCTAGTATTTTTCCCAACATTTCATAACTAAAGTGTACTGGGTACTTTGTACTCGTATGGGTACTCGAGTACAACAGTACTGTACTTGTACTTGGTACTCGAGTACTTTTATATAAGAGTACTTGTATTCAGTACTCGAATACTTTTTCATTGTACTCGGAACAGCTCTGCCTACATATGAGTTCTTACTATTAAGAGTAGGATCCTCCTCATAGCAATTTCCCATTTTCCATGTTTGAAACGCTTAAATTTATCGAAAAAAACAAAGAAACTGTTTTTGTAGATTAGTTAATTTCCAACAAAAATTTGCATTACTTATTTCAAAATCCCAACTATTCAGTTATAAAATTTTGAAAAAAAATGTTTTCAAAACTTTTTGAACTTTGACCTAAGATATCTTTTGAATGTATAGGTTTTCAAAAAAACCATAGGACACCTTTTTTGTAGAGCATTTAATTCCCTATTAAAATATGTATTGGGCTTAGCTTTATATTCATTTAATAGTGAGATACAAAATGTTTCAATCAGACTAATGTGAAAATAGAAAATTGCATTGATGAGGATCTTACTCTTAATAGTAAGAGCTCATACGAAGATAGGCTAAAAATGTTAAAATTATCAAAAATTTAGTTATGTTGCTTGCGGTAAAGTCGTCGATATAATTTTGTTCATGTACTTATTATATACGCATTAAGGTGGCTCTTAATTAATGGTGAGGAAAAATATAACTGGGCCGCCCTCCAAATAATAAAAAAACATCATGCAAAATTTTAGGTCAATCGGCCAAAAGAAACCAGTGCCTCAGAGAGACTTTGTCTGAAATAATTGAGAAAATTCTGAAGCGCGATAAATCCCTTTCTTGGGTAGCGCTACCTACTTTTTGAATTTTCTGTCCTAGAGCATACACCAAATGACATAAATTGTATTACATTTTTTGTTTACAAAATTATTTTCTTAAACTTGTCGTTTTAGAAAAAAAAACAATTAAATATGTTGAAAACAAAACGGTTGTGTCGGTAAGTGTACGCACGACATAAGTTTCTCTGAAAAATTTGTAAATTTTGGAATTTTGGGTATTTTGGATGAGTACCAAAAAAATCGTTTTATCGCTTTTAGACCCCGACATTTTT